CAAATTCAATGGATTCCAGTTGGCAGACCTGAGTCTCAACGGCACAGCCGGGATCACCTCTAGTGGCCTCTTAAAGCTAACAAGTGCCACAAAACAAGTAGTCGGTCAAGCCTTCTATCCTAGTCCCATCAACTTCAAGAACTCAAATGGCTCGGCCTTTTCTTTTTCCACTTCCTTCGTCTTTGCCATAGAGCCTGACTATCCGGATTTAAGTGGACATGGGATAGCTTTCGTGCTTGCACCAACAAGAGGCCTTCCAGGAGCTCGTGGATCCCGGTACCTTGGCCTCTTCAATGAAACAGATGATGGCAATTCCAGTAATCATGTTTTTGCGGTGGAGCTGGATACAATCCAGGATAATGAGTTTCTTGATATCAATCCCAATCAGGTTGGTATTGATATAAATAGTATGATATCTGTTAAATCAGAACCAGCAGGATATTATGCTAATGGCAATGGCGTGCTTCGCAACTTGACTCTTTATAGTGGCAAGCCAACTTGACTCTTCGCACCCAAGGTCACTTCTAGCTTCCCCCAACTATGCATAGGTCACAGGTGAAAGAGGTCAGATAGAAATAGATGTTGATTACGGACAGATAGTCAATGTAATAAAACTAATCTATAATAGCTTATGCAAAAATAAAAAATGGAAAAATTAAGCTGACATATAAGAGCTTGTGCTATGATCTAAAAATAAAGGGAAAATTGCAACCATGGTACCAAACATTTCATTTTATTGTAAACTTGACCCAAATCTTTTATTTGTGCTACCCACGGTATCAAATCTTTCAAAAATTCGAATGAATGGAAATCATTAGTTTGACTATTAATTGACTCAAAAATTGACTCTCACCAATTTTAAAGGAGTAAAATGGTAATTTTGAATTAAAATAAAACGAAAAACAAAATATCAAAAACCAAACCCAAAATCTCCCCACTCCCCACCCCACCCCACCCCACCCCACCCCATTAACGCCAGCCAAAGCATCGTTTGAAATTTTGTAGGTGAAGGGCTGTTGAGATGTGAGAAGAGTTGCAAATTGCGAAGGATGAAATAATTGCTAGAAGATTGCAAATCATTGTCACCTTTTTGTTCGGTTTCAGAAATTGAATTGGAAATTAGAGACGGTGATGACGGGCGATTGGATGAGATATTGTTGATTTGTGGATGGGATTTTTTGATTTGGAATTTGATTTGGGCAATTCTGAATGCCTTGAAGTGAGGGCAATTCTGAATGCCTTTAAGTTAGGGCATTAAGAGATAATAACGGTATCTCGGATCTATAAGATAGTAATTAAAATATAAAAATTAAAAAATTGGATC